ACTTCTCAGGGGGGATGGGGCTGCAGGCAGGCCGGGAGCAGGGCGGGCAGGCGAGGCCAGGGTCACTGGGTGGGGACACAGGGGGGTGACAGCGTGGGGCAGGGCCCCCCACATCCTGGGCCCTGGCCCTGGGTGCAGCTCCCCACTGGCTCAGCCATGGGCCCTACCTGCACAGCTCCCAACTGGTCTGCATGGGCACCCTGGGCCAGGGCTGAGGCAGAGCCACAATCTGTTTGGGGCCTGCCCCTGCCCTGTGGGTGGTGTGCAGGGGGTGTATGCATGTGTGTGTGTGTGTGGGGGGGGGGTTGTCAGGGTCTTAGGTTCTGGGAGCCGGCTGGGGTTGAGGGGAAGAAGTGGGGGAGGCATGTGCAGTACGGCTCACCCAGGATCCTGTGTGATCCATGGCTGCCCTCACTGCACTCTGCACGGGGTCAAGCAGTGCCCACTCCTGCTGGGATAGCCCACACCAAGCTCCTACCCATGCCCACCAGCCCAGCCCTGGCCAACATGCATAGCTTATTGGTTAGGCTCTCCCAGTGCAGCTGCCTAGGTGATGTTTATCTTTCCTCCCCTGTAGCAGCAGCTCCACCTCCTCCTGCCCCTGCCGCACAACTCTGGAGGGGGGAAACTGCAGCTGGGCGGCTCCTGCTCCAGTGCAGAGGGCTCTGGCTCCAGCTTCTGGCCACCTTCTATCCGTTTCATTGGCCTGCAGATGGTTGCTTATTGCACCTGGTGGGTAGAGCGCATGGAAGGGAGTTGGAAGTGTAGCCCTGTGTGCTGGGGCAGGAGCTGGGCAGCTGCAGCTTTTCTCCTGCCTAAAGTGGCACAGCAGGAGCAGGGGCAGGAACAGAAAAAGGAGTTGCTGCTGCTGGAGGTGAGGGGAGCTGAGCAGCACCTGGGTGGCTGCAGCTGCATTGGGAGCAGCCCCACTGGCTGCCCCGGGTGGGGATCAGCCCCATGTGGAGTGCTGCAGGGGGGCAGCTGCCAGGATGGATCCAGTCAATTGGCAGGCGCCCCCCACTGGCCAGATCCAATCAGTTGGTGGGTCAGATCCAGCCTGTGGGCTGTATTTTGCCACCCCCTGATTTAAGGTACTTACAGTTTTCATATCTAAGCAATGTCTGCTCCCCATACCTGGGCCAGTGTCATTTTGCTCTGGGATGGAATGGAGGTAAGTTGTACCTGGGGTGGTGGAGTGTGGGGTGTGTGTGGCATAGAAGAGCTAGAGAAGGTCCAGAGAGGGGCAACCAGGCTGGTGAGCGATGCAGAGGAAGAAACACTAGGCCAGTTCAGAAAAAGAAGCTGAGGGGAACGGGGAGAAAGGGGAGGATATTGTGTGGGGGGGTATAGAGAAGGGTTTCTACAAAACTCTAGGGTGAAGGAAGACTAAGATGGGATGTATTTGTTACCTTCCCTCTTGCCAGACAAGAATGAGTGGGGTGACATGAACCTAGTCCATTGAAAACTAACAGGAGGCAGTTCTTTTTCATGCCATGGGTCATTCCAGTGTGGATCTCACTGCCCCCAGATGTTGGGGGGAGGTGAGAGTTTAACCTGGTTCCAGAAAAAAAGGGGATGGGAGATCTTGGAGGAAAGAGGCAGTGTGAGTTATTGAGTAGGGGAGGGAGGGGCACAACTTTGGCACTGTCTAGACCAATGCTGGAGGCTTCAAGTGACAGAGGAGCACTGAGAGAAAAAACCAAACACTGGTCATCCCCAGTTTACTCTCCCCTTCAGCATCTACCCTGCTGTGTTACACAGGAGACTGGGCAAGATGGATTATAGTCTGAGCTAGTAAATAGTAATCCTTGTGTTCTGTACGTTCTTACGATTGGCCACTATCTAAAACAGCTGCAGATGGCTTTTCCCCTCTGGCTGGTCCAGTAGCCCTCCTGCCAGGGGAAATGTTCAGGTACTCCTTTGCTGGGGCATCTGTGCATGTGTGTAAATACTGAGGGAATACCTTCCTCCTTCCACTTCCTTTTTTCAGGAGTCTCTGTGCCAGTGAGAGTTCATGTCACTCAAGAGATCTGGGTGGCAATGTATTACCATATTGCAGTTCATAGCTATGTGCTGAAGCCTGTCAATGCTGCAGCCAGGATGTGTGAGACTTTGCAAGCTACACTGTCTCCAGCTCACTTCTCCTCCTCCCCAGGCTCCCGCATTATGCTCTTCCCTGTGATCTAGTGCCTGGGGTAGACCATGCCAGAGCAAAAACAAGGGGCCTCACACTGCAATTTGTATTGAAATCGTAGTAGTTTTGCTTTTCCAGGCATGACCATGCACTGAAACCGTGATTTTTTTAAAAAAGAACTAGCTTACCCCAATTTCTATACAGGCTTCTTCCCTAGTTATTATTATCTCCTGTCATGAGCAGTGTTCTGAATATTTCAGATTGCAGAGCCAGTCTGAAAAGGCTCTAGTATCTTAAGATTTTTGAGCCTTCACCTATGAAAACAAGTTCCAGCTACCAAGGATGACATCTGTTGTTAAAGTTTCTCCCAATGCAACTAGTTTTTCCCAGATGTTTATCTTGTGTTAGTCATAAAATATGCTGAGTTTTGCAGCATTTTTGAAAAGTTTGCCTAGGTACTTGAGACTGAAATAATTTGATTCCATTTGTAAAAATCTGGATGTCTTGGTTTAGAAATAATACCTTTTATTAGACCAGCTAATGCACCAAGTACATCCTTGATTCTCTTTCAGCACTTACCAGTTATATTTATTTCAAATAATACCTTTTGAAAAGAGAACTTTTTATTGCCTCCTTGGTTTCTTGCATTAATTTTAGGTTTATTTTGTAGCAGTCAAGTAGTTTATTACAGAAGGTGACAGACTTTTGATTTTTGAATGTGGGCAGATAAATGAATCATTATTTTTCAGATTTCCTAGGAATTTAGATTTGGTACTTTAAAAAAAAAGTTTCGTGCTTCCTTTCTAACTTAAGCAAATTTGATTTGTTAAAAATATTGACCTAAAGATACAACAATCATAGAAGACTTATATTTAGTCAAGGCAAAACAAAAGCTCTGTACAACCAAGTAAACTCTCACTCTGCCTTAAGAAGAGTGCTTGTGCCCGAAAGCTTGCAAAGAACAATTTTTCCAACTATTTAGAAGTTTTTAATTTCTTCCTATTTCCATTCTCACTGACATCCTGTCAGTTACACTTTTAGCTTCTCTCATTCCTTGGAGTCTCAGAACAGCAGAGACTTCCTATTATCTGAAGAAGGGTGATAGCTTGCTAAGAACTTTTTTCCAACTACTGAATTGGTTTAATCACATCTACTCAAAGAACCTTGCCTCGTGTTAAGTAGAAGACAACGAGTAAATTGTTCCTTTGAA